CAAGACAAAAAACCCCTGAAGCTGTTATTCACCTGGAAAGCTGTAAGCACCTCATCACATCAGAAACTAAACTGACACAACCTCAGAAGATTAGTTATCACTCTGGCCTAATCCAATTAGGTGTGTTCCTGATTTTACTCAATGTAAGACTTCTCTACCAGTTCCTACACAGGAAACAGCAATAATCTCCTGATGATCAGCACCACAAATAATAAAATTCCTGCATAATTAAAAGTTTGGTGTGCATTTTTTAACATTAAATTTGGCAAAAGAGTTTACAAAAACTATTTAAACATTCTGTTACCCAGTGATCAAAGGCCTGTGGATTTTACTACACCATTTCACAATTCAATTCCTTGCATCATACCATACTGATCAAGAAGCATGAGGAAAACTAAAAGTGAACCAATCCTCTCCTATGGATTGAAAGACAAATTCAAATGCACCTTTTTGAGAATTAAGGACTTAAACATTACAATAACATCTATCATTTATTAAAAGCTTAAAAAATACTAATTTATATCGTGCACCAAGAAAAACATATTCAGCTTGTTTAATAGCTTGTTAAATGCAACAAGAACAGCTCTTCTAAGCTATTTATTAACTACATTTTCTTCACCTCCTTTCAGGATCCAAAGGATGGACTAACAGGTTCTGCTCTTTGCTACTTTACTACAGAAGCAGAGGGAGTGAGGCAGCAGAGCTTTCTTTCCTTTGAGTGGGATTTTAAAATACTTCACCTTTTGACTGGGGTTTTAAAAATACTTTACCAACATTCATCAAATTATTAGTGAACATACAAATTGATTTTAATAAAAATAGCATGTGATTGACAAAGCAGCCATGGTTTTGTGCTTGAGCACTGAACCCAAGCCCTACATGTGCATCCTGTTTTTAAGTACTGTACATTGTCTTAATGTAAAAGTGTTAGAAAGTTCAACCTTCCCATGTGGGATTCAGGAAAGGGGGGGAAGAGGAGGACAATCAAGTCGTTTTGCACAGATGTTGCATTAAGACAATCAGATATTAGGATAAGAGACACATCTGAACAAAAAGCAGCAACTTAAAACCACATGAGAGAAGGCAGTTAGATATACATTCTCTTCAATTCAGTTCTGATTTTGAAACAAACAGCACAAAATCAGCCCAACCTGCCTAAAATAAAATACTTACAAAAAATATCTGTAACGGTAAGACACAAAATTCTGAGAAACATTAAGATACCAGACGGAAATTTGTTAATCAAGTGGAAAAAAAAACCATATAAAAGACCAAATTAATAACTGATCAATACTTGATAGTGGAATGAAAACAACCAATGCTACAATTACAGCCTCTGAAGAAAAATCTATAAAAATTCATTTTAAGGGAAAATTGTATGTCAACATCTTTACTGGGCTGAAAGACAGTCAGAATTCAAAATTAGTAAAATTACCCTTTAAGATATAGTTTATTCATGAGAAGAAATACTAAATTCCTTTAAATTAAGGAAAACAAGTTTCCTTTACAAAGACTAAAAGAATGGAGAATAGTTGAGACTGATTTTACAAAGACAGGATGATAATTGAAACGGAACAAAAGAATTTGATGATTTTATTTTTTCATCCACTGTTTTCAGATAGTTTTATAATCATTTGTTGTGCAAGATTCGGCTCCTAAACGTGTATGTGATAGCAAGATCCTTGTTTCAGAACCTTGAAAGTATACAGTCACAATCTGCAACTATGATGGCAAAATGAACTGATGCCTTGAAAGGCTGAGTTCAGTTCCTAAACGTGTATGTGATAGTGTTTCAGAACCTTGAAAATATACAGTCATAATCTGCAACTATGATGGCAAAATGAACTGATGCCTTGAAAGGCTGACCTACAACAGAGGCTAGACAGAGCTAAAGGATAAAGCAGGAATTTATTAAAAGGCCTTAAGGGATACACCTTGGGCAGTACAAGAGCCTGGCCAGGGCTACACCCAAGATGAACCCAAAATGGTCACAAAATGGACAATTGGTCACAAGGTCTCACACTTTTATAAGTTTTGGTCCATTTGCATATAGGAGTTAATTGTCCAGTTATAGTCCCAGGTTATGAAGTTCCATCCTCAATGTTCTTCTCTCTTCAATTCACCATTGTTTATACTTTTTGGGCCTGGAGCTTGTAACAGCTGTCCTTGGTCTCAAGTTGGAAAAGGACTGTTTTGTCTACCTACCCTGTGAAGAGAACTTGCTAACACTTAATATGAAGCTCAGAGTTGCACACTAAAGCAGCAGAGAATGCGAAAAATATGAAAGCTAAAACTTGAGGCATTGCTGCCAGCTCACCATAGTTTCTAAAATTTGACAGCTTTCACCAAGTACAGGGTTAATCCCCACCTTCCTCAAGGCAACTTGCAAAACATGCAGGTAAATTAATGATTGCTAAGTATCAGTGGTACTTCAGAGGCACAATTCAAAATGAATAGTCTCAGACTTCTAACATTTTAATGATTCCTTTCTGCTGCCAGGTGGAACGTCTGGTGGATTCAGAAGAGCAACAGCTTCCCACGGAACTTAGCACAGATGACTAAATGCTTTTGATGGCACAGTGAACCTCTATTTTAAGACTTCACTTTTAACTTTGCATTACAGTTCACTACCATATGACTGGAGGCCAAACGCCAGGAATTTGCATTAGGAATGAAAGCATACACAATCTCCTGGAGCTACCGAGGAACTGCTGCAGCGGGAATGCTATAACATGACATTTTACCTCAAGAGGCATACTTGTATTTCTGCTGCAGAATATTTCACTAATTGTGAGCCACTTGGGTTGAGAACTAGCAAATGATCAGTCTTGTGAAGTTCACACTGTTACTTGGAGAATTCATCAGCAGAAAGGCTAAGGTTTCAGCTCAATCCTGTTACAAACACAGTCATCTGTTAATAGATTTGATTAACTTTCTATTGAAACTTACACTTTACAGTGACCAACTTCTTTACTGGGCACCTAAAATACTGTAATCATAAAATCACAAAATTGTTAACATTGGAAAAGACTTCAAAGAGCTCTGAGTCCAACCATCATGTTCTCCACTAAATTACATCCCCAAGTGCCACATTCACATGCCCTTTGAACTGTTCCAAGGGTGGTGATGCCACCGCTTCCCTGGGCACCCAGTTCCAATGGCTTTTGGCTCCTAAAAACCTAACCAATGCTAACTGCTCTAACTGTACCCTCAAGGTACACTAAAATGTGGAATTAACAAACATGGCAATGTAAGAGCTGGGAAATTTCAACTCCTCAATTTAAGGTGGAAAGCAGAGCCTAGATCTTGTATAAACCACTGAAGGGATGCTAAGGGAAAACTACAAACCTGTCCAGTCACACTTTTATTGAAGTGGCCAAATCCTCTCAGAGCAAGATGGACATGTGGTGGCATCACCTACTGGGTCAGGTTTCTTGAAAGATTTAGGTGAAGGAACCCCTTGTTTCTGAGCCTATGTAGAACATAACCATATACTAAATGCCTGTCAGCATAGAAGAAGCACCTCCAGGCAGATGTGACAGCACTTTTTCAGAGCTTGAGAAGGTTTAAATGAAACATCATCAGCTAAACATCAAGTGAAAGAGAAAACACAGCAATTGAACCACAAGCCTTACCTAGGCTTGGTTTAGACGTAGCACTTTTCCTCCCTTGAATCTTATTTACATCACCCATATGTGCTGGAGTGGCACTTAATAATTTATTATGCATATGCCATATCAAAATCACTTCTTTACATAAGACCATGTTATTTATATTCAAGGAAACAAATCTTTTTTTAAAGTCCTGGAAAACAAGCCCAGAATCTGGTTTGCTCTCCAAGCAGACAGAACACATGCTATGGAAGGGTAACTTCTCCCTACACCTTTCTCCCCCCGCTCTTCGCTTGACTTAGGCAGAGCAATGTCAAAAGGCATTTGGACTCCACAACTAACCAATCCCAGGATTCTTGCAAAGCCAATTATCTAAATTAGTAACAACTCCTGTCACTATTTCTGAAGCTGGCACATATCCCCAAGATAGACATTAAATACGCATTTCATGCAAGCCAAGTTTGTCTATGAATGCCAGAGCCAAGAACTAAAAACGTTCATCGCTCTTTTCTCTTAGCCTACTACAATTTAAGCTTTTTAAAGCTCTTTCTTTCAGGACATGTTCTGTGAGGTCATACTTTAAGAAGCACTTATGCAACAGCAAAAGGAGCTCATGGTTTCTGTGGACAGAAGTGAGAGGCCCAAAGACGGCCATCAGTTGTAGCAAGGAGCCAGAAGCTCTGCTCAGGATTTTCTAGAAGCCAAGGGCTCACTGTTTCCACCCACCATGCTGCCTCTTGCCAGAGCCTTCTCACTGTTGCCCCATCCCTTTGGATGCCACATACTTTGGCATCTCCTGGCAGAAATCCCAGCTCTGCTTCCAGATGTCAACACTTTTTCCTTCCAGCCCACTACCATAAGCATTGGATAACAGTTGTTTGGAGGCCACAGGAGAAAGACGTCTGTGTTGCAGGAGCTTGGACGAAACCCCAAATATGTCACACAACACCAGCAGTTTCCTGGTAAGCCCTAGCCAAGGCTACTGCCAAATTCAGTCAGAGCTTTGGCTCACCTGGGTTACCTCTAAGTGTAGACAGTGGCAGGCAAGTCTCGAACAACAGGTTTACTGCACTCTGCGAGCTCAAACTGCAACCAATATGTCCTACTCAAGATGGAGATTTTCAATGGTGAAGCAATGGCTAACACAAATTACAACTGAATAATCCTCTAAATCCAGAAAAAACCAAAGGATGAAGGTTTGCCCATCATTTTAGCAAATGAAGCCATCCAGCAAATCACACTGTAGCTGTTAATGGAACATCTGGTGAGGCCACCAAAGCAACTGATATCATTTACAAACCCTTCCCTTCCACCCAGCCGGGTTAACCGTGCAGACTCATTAGGATTAAAGTGAGATACAGAAATACCTTGTCCCCAATATCCATTTACCTTGTCCTGAGGGCCTGCCAGGCTGCATCAATGTCTGCATACAGGTTTTTCTCAGAGGGCTTGCCGGTGCTCACCCCGTAGCCAGAGTAGTCATAGGAGAAGACGTTGCAGTTGATGCGGGAGCCAAGGCCAATGTAGAAGCTGCACATCTGGCCCAGGTCCACAGCATTACCGTGCGAGAAGAGCAGCGTGTACCGGCCAGTGGGGGCACAGCGAACGAACATGCAGCCCAGCCTGTTATCTCGGGCCGTGCGGGAGAAGAACACTTCCACGGCATCCAGTTCCCGCTGGGAATACTGCCAGTCGGCCCTCTCGCTCAGGTGCAGGCTGCAGGTGCCCGATCCCGTGGGAGTGCCCGATCCCGTGGGAGTGCCCGCCCCGGCCGCCGCCCCGGGCTCCTGCTGCTGCTCGGGCTGCAGCACGGTGTACGTGGGCTCCGGGGGCAGGAAGGCCAGCTTGGCAGCGATGCGGCTGGGGCAGGGCGGGCAGCAGAACAGCCAGCACAGCTCGCCCAGAGAGAAACCGTTCATTCTGGGGCCTTGTTCTGGCATCAGAGACGCCGGAGAAAAGCTAAATCTCTGCTGGAAAGAAGTCACACGGAACCGACCCAGAGCCCTCCTCCGACGCGACCTGCCGCCTTCCTGCGAGGCCACCAGCTGCCCTCCCAGAACGCAAACAATGACAACCTTGGAAGAACTACAGTTCAGCGACAGCAATGCAGCTCTTCAAAGCCTGGAAACTGCTTATACAAACCAAAGACACAACCCCACGAAATACAGACGGGCTACAACCAGCCCTCAACCCCCCCGCCACAACTAACGCTACAGCAAACGCAACTCTCTAAAACACGACCCTCACCGCACGTGAGCCACACGTACACATTTACAAAATGAATTCCCCGATGCCACGGCTCAGTGCGGCGCCCCAGCCCCGGAGCCGGCCTCCCGCAGGGAACATGCAGGATCCAGGGAAGCACCTTCCCGCACACACCGCACCACGCGCGGCTCCACCCGCTCCGCCCCGGCCCCCGGGACGCCCCGCGAGGCAGCGAGGGGCCCCCGCAGCGCCACCGCCCCCGGCCCGGCCCCGGCAGCGTCCGCGGGAGGAGGAAGATGAGAAGGAATAGGAGCACGAGGAGCAGGATGAGGAGGGTCCAAGGAGAAGGGGAAGGCAAGGTCGAGGCTCAGCCGCGCGCGGCCGCGGGCAGGGCCATGCCGGCTGCGGCGCGCAGGCAGGAGCGGGCAGCGGCCATGTCCCGGCTCCCCCTCCGCGCCGCCGCAGCGCTTCCGGGTTACGGGCGCGGAGCGGCGCCGCCGCAGGTGCCGGGGCGGGTGCGGGGCTGTGCCGGGCCGCGCCCGCCGCGGCACCGCTTGGGCGGGGCGTCGGGAGGTGCGGAGGTGCGGGAGCGGGTCCCGCAGCGCTGGCCGGAACGCAGGAGCCGCCGCCGGGCCCTTTAAGGGACCCCCCCCAGCCTCTCTGCCGGCCGCCCACCCTCGCGCGTGCGCGGCGGGGCCGGGGGCGAGGGGCCGCGCGCGCAGGGGCCGCTTGGCGCCCTCTGAGGGGTCCGTGAGGGGACCCCCGGCTCGGGTCGCCCTGAGCGCTCGCACCGCGGGCAGTGCCAGCCCTCGGAGCCGGGGCCGGGTGAGGGGCTCCCCGTGGCCCTGGGCATCGCTCCTCGAGTCGCCCGAGCTGTGCAGCAATGCCAATGAAGCTGCTCCTCCGCAGTGCCCGGCGCTCCGCTCCCCGGCTGCCGAGCGAGCTGTGCCCTCCAGGTTCAAAAGCTCTGGAGGATCTCTGGATTTGCCGGCACTTTCAAGAGATTCTACGGAAAACTTAAAATGGTGCGATTGCAGAAGCCTCATTTCCTTAGAAAATGAGGGTAATGATCCGTATCCCAAATAATTCACTGAATAAATTAGCAAATTGCTTAGAGCATATGGCAGACCCCATGGATAAGTGGTACTGCATCTCCAATGCCTGCTTCGACCCTGAGAGCAGAGCACAAAGATTGTGGGCAAATGATTCCATGTTCCACATGTTTATGTGGAACATTCTGTTGGTAACACAGGGAATAACTACAGCCCTTAATTCACCAGCATTGCATGCTTACTGAAAAAAAAAAAAAAAAGTCACAAAGCCAAAGTGAAAACATAAAGAAAATTACACCCGTGCAACTGCACTTACCCTGCAATTCTTACACTTCCAACCAGTGTCCTGACTAAGACGTGGTGAGCATGTTCACCCCCTTGTGTTTTCTCCTACTGTTTGGCCATTACCCTAAGTGCTACCTATGAGGAACAAAGTTTCAAAAACTCAGGAACTGGGTCATTTCATAAGTTACAAACCTGAGATGCCCTTCCCTTTCATTTTCATTGGGAAACACTTGCCAACTCTAAGAAAACTCCGTTCAAAACCTGTTTACAGAAAGGTGGTCATGTGTGATACTCCTCTGTCTTTGGAACTGGAATGTCAAAAATGAGCTCAGCCCCCACCACAGCAGTCTTTACTTTGCTAACAATGAAAATTTTAGAAATGCTAAAATCAGTCGGCAATAATTGTGTCTATTCTGACTGTTAAGCGAGAAAATGAAAGGGAGAAATGTGTTATCTCCATCCAGCTTGAACTTGTGGCCTCTGGCATGGAGAGGATATTCCTCCACAGGACACAGAATACCCAGTTAATTACACATGTCCCACTGGCAGGGTGACAGGGTCCAGAGATCAGGCAGGGTAATGAAATGAGTCCCACCTACTTGATGCTGGGTTCCTTTGGGTGGCAGAGACAGCCAAGGCACCCTGGATGGGTCAGGAAATGATGAAAGGGACTCCCACTCCATAGACTGTGATAGGAAAACACAGAATAGATAAATGAGGGACCCTGTGAAATTCCTTGGGGATGACAAACGCCCTCAAGCTCCACCTTAGCTGTTACAAGAGATACTATTGATAATCTGTGGGAAGACTGATAGAACCCTGAGAAAAGTCTGAATATGCTCTGAGAAGAGATTTGGCTGAGGAGAGCTGCTAAGAGCTGCCTCTCCATGTCCCTCTCCCTGCACACACACTGAAACTAAGATAAGAGCTGGAATCTGGGCATCAGCACCAACTGAAACTAACTCAGAACCCTTTCAAAGGCTGTGTGACTCGCCCAGAGCCAGACAGCAGAAGTTGTTATATTGTAAATAGATTGCTACTCCAAAGAATAGGCAATTAAAAGGACAGTATTTCCCATGTGCCACCCTGGTCCTTCCTTAGGTCATGCTTGCAGTAGTGAAATTAAAGAATTAAAGTGTCCTCTTTGAATCAAAGGGGAAGTGTTATGAATTTGCTCCTTGAGCTAATAGGACTGTGCAAACCACATTTACTATCAGCCTTTAAGTAATTTTTGATGGACCAAGAAAGATGCCTTAGGTGAACAGGGAAGATCTTCAAATAGCTACGAAAAAGGCAAATAGAATAAAGAGAACACACTGTAGTTGGTTATGTCTTGATTATTTCCATGTCCTGTAGCCTCACCATGCCTGTCACAAGGGCAGAGCGCTTTGCACCACACTTCCTTTTCCTGAACACTGGATAGACAAAAGAATAGGCCAGAAGACAGTGAGACTGAAGCCAAAGAAGACACCTGGCAGCAGCTCTGTGAAGATTACGTATCCTAAACATTAACCATGCCTGACTTCCTGCTGCTGCTGGCCGACTGTGAGGCTGTTACAGCTGGATAAACACTCCTCATACCTGCACACCTGCAACTATCGTCTGCTGCAGCGCTGGTTACAAACACCAGACTCACACTAGGAAGTGCCTCAAAGCATTTTTCCTATTTCCTGGACAAATTACTGCTCATGTAATTTAGTAACTCTGTATCCCAGGCCTGTTCCAGGATATGCTAAAGCAGTAGCAGAACTGACAAGCAATGGCTCTGTCAGCTGAAACACAAGGCAAGAGATCACTCTGAAATCTACCTAACTCAGGTACAGGGCAAATAATGAAGCACATTAATGAGCACACATGGCTGTGTTCTCATCAGCCACATCACTGTCAAGTTCTTTGCAGTTTCTGGAAAAAGGTCTGCTTGAAGGAAGTGTTTAAAATAGAAAAATTAATTTGCTTTGGGAATGGAAGACCGTCCCAAACACAAGAGAACCAAATGTCGTGGGAGGTGGTGTGTCTGGAAAAGAATGAATGGGCAACAGATGGTGGCATCAAGAACTTACTGGAGACACACCACTCTGATGCTAGTGAGAGGATCATAGAATCAGAGAGTCATTTAGGCTGGAAAAGACCTTTAGGATCACAGAGTCCAACCATTAACCCAAGGACTGCCAAGTCCGTCCCTAAAACATGTCCCCTAATGCCACGTCTACACATCTACTAAATACCTGCAAGGATGGTGACTGAACCTGGGCAGTCTGTCCCAGTGCTTGACAACCCCAACAAAGAAATTTTTTGTAATATCCAATCTGAGCCTCTCCTGGTGCAACTTGAGGCCATTTCCTCATCCTGTCACTTGTTAGTTGAAAGAAGAAGCCAACCCCCACCCAGCTACAACCTCCCATCAGATTGCTGTAGAGAACAATAAAGTCACTCCTGAGCCTCCTTTTCTCCAGGCTCTGGTCTCTGTATAGCCAAAACTGGAAGATATAACACCTAAATTAATCACCCAGGGTAAGCAAGCTAAATACAGCCTTTGGTAGATGGCCCATACTTATGTTTTTTCTGTTGGGTGTATCCTTCCCTACATTGTGCCAGTGGAAAGAACTTGGATTGCTTATTTCTCTTTCTGCACCTGAGTGAGACTAGCAATTTTCTGCCACATAAACCCATGTAGCATTAAACTTACAGGTCTATATGGACAAAAATGTATCAATTGCTTTACCAGAGTGAATAAAAAAAAGGTTAAAATAGAAAACTCATGGAGCTTGAATGATCAATTTCTTCAGAAATATGAGTCTAAGACAAATGACACTCTTCAGGGTTTAAAATAGCTTTCTTCTAGGTCCGCAGGGTTTTAGTCAAGACTCAGCTATCCTCAGATTTGCTGTGAATACAGTATGACAAGAATGTGGAAAGGAAAACAAAGATGTACAAGGATCAAAACTTATGGGAGGGATGGTGGGGGAAGGGAGAAGTGGCAGCTATGTGATAATATACAATGAGGGTTTAGAGTCTTGATTTGCAGTGACTGCACTTTATGCCTGTCACTGGCAAATTGACATTTTAAAGATATGTTCTTGACTGCTTTTTCATGTCAGTATCTTTGTTCAGGCTATATCTAGGCTGATGAAAGGAATTTCAATTAAGGATGAAATCTTTTCCATACTGTATTGAAATGCACAGGGTGGGAGCAGAGGAAGAATGGAGCAATGAAAGCTCTATAGAGAGTTCTTTAAGGCATCTTGCTGACACAGGACAAGATAGTTTAGGAATGCCTGGGGCAGTGCACTCTGCAGTGGTTTATTGTGCCTTTACAAAGAAACAGTGTGCATTCACCTTAGTGCCTACTGCCTGAGGCCACATATCATTCAAACCGGGGACTAAGGGTTTAATAAATCCCAATCTAGTTTAGTCCTCGAGGGAATAGCAGTCTGGAGTCATTCAGGAGTGGCAGGGAGGGTGGCCACCTAACGTGGCAGGAAAAGGCTGATTTTTACCCTCTGTGTGTAAGCAGTATCCTGGGAAATGAAAGGGGTTATAAATCTGCATAGTGAAAGCCTTAGGGAAAAGAAGTGTGAAAAACAGTAAGGCATGGATATGAAGACAGTTCATGAGAGACAGAGAAAAAAAAAGAGAAAGACAATAGAAAACTGAGAGCTGGGGGGAAAAAAGGAATATTAATTGTACAAAACCACATCAAACCCACTTTATCCACCTACCTTGCACTCACCTAATATTTGGAGTGAAATACAAACTAGCTCCCACTGAGCACTTTAATGCAGATGTATATTTCTTTGCATGTTTGTCCTTGTCCACCATTTTTCTAGCCTAGTCACGGTGAGAATTTTTAGTTTGCTGATATATCCAGAATGCTCACCCAGCCCCTCCAGCTGGGCTCCAGCTGTCGTGGTGACCTTCGGAGGGCAGCTGATCCACACTCCACTCCCACCCGTGCATTCAGAGTGGGTGTAACAAGTGCATTCCAAAGGCTCCTTAGGACCTCTACATGTACCTGTCAGTGGTGCCTTCATTCAGGTCTGAATCTGGGCATTGAGGCATTACTGCTCAACAAAATCTGGACAGAGGCAGAGCTCTGTGTCACTGTGGCCAGACCCATAATCAAGCTATCAATTAAAAATCAATTTGTGTATGTCTACAGCATTACAGAGTCATTAATGTGACTGAGGCATAGACATACATTTCATTCATTACAATAATTCAGCTATTAAGATGATCTGATTTATCAGCAAGAGCCAGAATGGCTGTTCAC